CTCCTCAATTTTCCCAAATTTCCCCAAATTTTCCCCAAATTCCTCATTTTTTCCCTGATTTTTTGCTGATTTTCCCCATTTTTCCCAGATTTTCCCTCATTTTCCCTCGTTTTCCCTCATTTTTCCCTCATTTTTCCCATTTTCTCCCAATTTTCCCCAAATTTTTCCCAATTTCCCCTCAATTTTCCCAAATTTTCCCAAATTTTCCCAGATTTTCCCAAAATTTCCCCTGAATTTCCCCAAATTTTCCCCAAATTCCTCATTTTTTCCCTGATTTTTTTTGTGATTTTCCCCATTTTTCCCAGATTTTTCCCAATTTTTCCCCATTTTCCCTCATTTTTCCTCATTTTTCCCTCATTTTCCCTCATTTTTCCCAATTTTCCCCATTTTCCCAGATTTCTCCTCAATTTTTCCAGATTTTCCCTCATTTTTCCTGATTTTTCCCTCATTTTTCCCATTTTCTCCCAATTTTCCCCAAATTTTTCCCAATTTCCCCTCAATTTCCCAAATTTTTCCCCAAATTTCCCCTGAATTTTCCCAAATTTTCCCCAAATTCCTCATTTTTTCCCCGATTTTTCGCTGATTTTCCCCTTTTCCCCCAGATTTTCCCTCATTTTCCCTCATTTTCCCTCATTTTCCCTCATTTTTCCCATTTTCTCCCAATTTTCCCCAAATTTTTCCCAATTTCCCTTCAATTTTCCCCAAATTTTCCCCAAATTTTCCCCAAAATTTCCAATGAATTTTCCCAAATTTTCCCCAATTTCCTCATTTTTTCCCTGATTTTTCGCTGATTTTCCCCATTTTTCCCAGATTTTCCCTCATTTTCCCCAATTTTCCCCATTTTCACCAGGTTTTCCCCCATTTTCCCTGATTTTTCCCTCATTTTTCCCATTTTCTCCCAATTTTCCCCAAATTTTTCCCAATTTCCCCTCAATTTTTCCCAAATTTTCCCAAATTTTTCCCCAAATTTCCAAAGAATTTCCCCAAATTTTCCCCAATTTCCTCATTTTTTTCCCAGATTTTTTCCTGATTTTCCCCATTTTTCCCAGGGTTTTCCTCATTTTTCCTCATTTTCCCTCATTTTCCCTGATTTTTCCTCATTTTTCCCTCATTTTTCCCAATTTCTTCCCCATTTTCCCCATTTTTCCCAGATTTCTCCTCAATTTTTCCAGATTTTCCCCCATTTTTCCTGGTTTTTTTCCCAAGTTTTTCCCATTTTCTCCCAATTTTCCCCAAATTTTTCCCAATTTCCTCATTTTTCCCTGATTTTTTTCGTGATTTTCCCCATTTTTCCCAGATTTTTCCCAATTTTTCCTCATTTTTCCCAATTTTTCCCCATTTTTTCCAGATTTCTCCTCAATTTTTCCAGCTTTTCCCCCATTTTTTCCCAAGTTTTTCCCAATTTCCCCTCAATTTTCCCAGATTTTTCCCAAATTTTCCCAAATTTCCTCCCATTTTCCCCATTTTTCCCCAATTTCTTCCATTTTTTCCCAATTTTTCCCCATTTTTTCCCAATTTTTCCCCATTTTCCCCAATTTTTTCCCAATTTTTCCCAATTTTTTCCCATTTTTTCCCCAATTTCTCCCCCATTTTTCCCAATTTTTTCCCATTTTTCCCATTTTTTTTCCATTTTCTCCCATTTTTTCCCAATTTTTTTCCCATTTTCCCCCATTTTTCCCAATTTCCCCCCATTTTTCCCCATTTTTCCCAATTTTTCCCGTTTTTTCCCCATTTTTCCAGGGAATCGACGGCATCCGGGGGCTGAAGGGTCACAAGGGGGAGCAGGTGAGCCCCTCCCCCACCCCAAATTCCCAAAAAATTCCCAAAATCCCCAAAAATCCCCCCAAAAAATCCCCAAAAAATCCCAAAAAAATCCCCAAAAATTCCCACGAAATTAAAAAAAAAAATCCAAAAAAATTCCCCCAAAATTCCCCAAAAAAATTCCTTAAAAAAATCCCAAGAAATTCCAAAAAAATTCCAGGATTAATCCGAAAAAATTCCCGAAGTAAATCCCCCAAAAAATCCCCAAAATCCCCAAAAATTCCCAAGAAATTAAAAAAAAATTCAAAAAATTCCTCCTAAATTTCTCAAAAAATCCCAAAAGAATTCCACAAAAATTCCCTAAAAAAATTCCTCGAAAAATCAAAAAAAATCCCCAAAAATTCCCCAAAATTCCTTTAAAAATTCCCAGAAAATTCCCCCAAAATTCCCAAAAATTCCTTTAAAAATTCCCAAAAAATCCCCCCAAAATTCCAAAATAAATCAAAAAAAAATCCAAAAAATTCCCCCAAAATTCCC